TAACCCTAACCCTAACCCTAACCCTAACCCTAACCCTAACCCTAACCCTAACCCTAACCCTAACCCTAACCCTAACCCTAACCCTAATAATTATACCCCCTCTACTAAATAACAATACCCCTATCGTTCGGGAAACCTTAAATCGGTTTTAGTAGCCTACTAAACAACTATACCCAAAGTTATTTAGCGCATATAGGTTAGGGTAGGATTTCTTTATATATAGGCGTTTAGGTAAGACTAAGAAGTATTATATTTATAGTAGATTACGTAAGGATAGCTTATAGGTTCTATAGAGACCTATATAGCTTATAGAAATTAATTAATTAATTAATTAAAATTTAGGTTAGGTACTTACCGGACCGGGAATCCTAGCTACGCTAGAATTTCTTAAATAAATAAGGATAGCTATATAGAAATAGCGCCTTAACAACCTTCCCGAGAGGAAGTAAAATACTTCTAATTTCGTTCTACTCCTTACTATTTTACCTTCTCTAAAATCTCTTTTCTTACCTTTATTTTACTATATCGGCCTAGATCTAACTATCTCTTATACTACCTTACTTTTATCTTATATCTAAACACCCTAGCTAGTCCTAAACGGACCGTCTATTATAGTTTCCAACTATATATAGACGTTAAACGAATTAATTAATTAATTAATCATAATAGGCTTTCGATGATCTCGCTAGCGTTTAGGAGTATCTGTAGATAGTGGCAGACGAGGACGAGAGTAGCGTTACACGGCGTTAAACGCCCGTTGCCATCTACCTTTGCGTCCTGATAATTTCTGAACTTTTGATCAGAGATTTTCGGGTTACACAACGCCGCGGAATCATGTGCTGGTAAATAGCAAAGCGCACGTGATACTGCCAGCGCCCACCGGTCGCAAAGAAACACCAACAACACGATCGCAAAGCCGCATCGCATCGCATCGCAGCGCATCGCAACATAGGTTTCATCTAGCCCTATCTGGCTTACGATCAGATCCTACCCCTGCCCCTGCCCTTACGTGCATGTTGCGGTACGTCGCTACTTAGGACACACACAACGGCCAGCATGAAGCGAAAATTTGACTGCACTACGCCTCCAGATAGCTCTAAAGATAATCATTCAAAGCGGCACAAGGCAGGCGGGCCTCCGTATCACACTCCAGACAGTATTAACAGCTGGGTACATCAGCTTCCCGACGACGCACCCGACGATGCGCCAATGGCTTCTTTTGTCGAGTCAGACACCATCTCCAGCGTGCCTCGCACAGACACTACTACACCAAAGGCATACAGCGAGGCGCTTTACCGCTCATACAACCTCTCGGCAGCGAACGTCTTCATAGGCACCCGCGTCCCGGCTGACGTGCTGAGGCGGGTAGAGGCCATCCTATGCTCGCACGGCACCGATGTACCCGATGTACCAGCAGAAATCGCCGCCGAGTTGTATCATGATTCATTAGGCATGGCGCAAGCGGGCGAAGCCAACTGGACGGATCCTTTTATTGCCGTCGTCCGACGTTTGACTCGACGCTACGACGCAGACTTGGTTTGGCATCGGGACAGAGGTTGTAGCTTTGCGCGCCTTCAATCTGCACCATCTTACTGACACTGCATTCCAGAGTGGTTGCCCGATCTCAAACCACCACGAACACCCAGAACCACAACTTCGCAACAGCTTCAAAGCACAGTTCCACAGAAACGGAAACGCAGCGCAATGCCTGGCATGACACTCGCAACAGACCAGGCCATGTTGCACCAATTTCGGCCGAAAATGCCATGTCGAGTTACGTCTTCCGGCTCCCCCATGCCTACGCAAGAACTAGCTATGCCCCCTCCACCACCGAGATCCAGCAAGTCATCCCAAACCTCAAGGTCCTCCAAATCCAAATCGCAAACCTCCGGCAGCCTGCACACAGCGGTCTCAGCAGGAGGTCTCAGAACACCTAAACCAGACCTCTACATCGGCTTTTCAGATGACGCCTTGACTTCACCGTCCGTTCCTCGCATGTTTCTCACCGACATTCAACAGGAAGGCGTTTTGATCAGCGACGCCAGCCCCATGATGGTCGGCTGCCGCTTCCCTTTCCTCATCATCGAGGCCAAGTCTGCTGCCACCGGAGGCAACCCTTTCCAGGCAGAGAACCAGGCTGCTGTCGGAGGTGCATGCGCTGTCAGGCTTCTTCAGAAAATTCAAGAGGTCACTTTGTCGTCTGGTAGTGATCAAGCAAGTACCGGCCCGGCCAGCAACTTGAACGCAGCCGCCCCTACAGCCGCCCCTACAGCTGAAACAGTCAATGTTGACAACGCTGACGATGCGACCACTTCTGCCACTGCTACCTCCAGCATGAGCAACGCACTTGTCAGATTCGGCAATTCCACGGTAGACAACAGAGACCCGTCGCCGATTCTTTTCTCTCTCACTACCGAGAGATCTTCCGTCATGCTTTGGGTTCACCACTACGTTGCGCCAACATACAGGTACGAGATGAGTAAAGTAGGTGCTTGGGACTGCATGATACCAACTTGTGCAGTGGATTTTGTAAGGCGTCTTGCGGCTGTCATCGAATGGAGTGTTCATGAGTTGAAACCGTGGCTGGTGGAGAAGATTAAAACTTATTGGGAGATTCAAGGTTCGTTCACTGAGTAATATCTTTGGGGGATCTTATTTGTCTTTCTTTCTCACGTTAAGACGGGTTTGTAGTCGTGCTGAGAGTGTTTGGTGTAAGGAAATAATTATGTTTAAGGATATATCGGAGTAATTGTTTGACAGGATGAAATACCCAAAGGACATATTTAAAAATGGTATAGTGTATTTACAAATCCCATTTCTAGCTATTAATATATGGTAAAACGTTAATTGAATTTGCGGTTCACTATTATTTAGTATTGCCAACTATACTGCAACTTGAAGCCAGTTATCCAATAGAAAAAAACTTTCATAGAAGGACAAACAGTTGCGACAACGTAACTTAAAACTAGCACCAACCTACGTTGCCAGTAGAAAGAAGCTTTTGTAGATACGGAATCAAGTATCAAGAACACGATACAATGGCTTGAGTTGTGTAAGGAAAGCCTACATGACATAATAAATCTTGGGCTTACGTTTAACCTAGGATATGCGTAATGGGGCTTTGCGAAATACCTACTAATCGTACTATCTTCAATGCAGGAGTAAAAGGAAGCCTGATTTCTTAAGGAGGCATTCTGGAACGGGAGGGCGATATTAGTCCTTGTCTTAAGTATCTTAGTTCCGTTGTTCTTACCCGGTAAGGAAAAGGCTTTACTGTTAGAACGTCCTTGTATCTTATAACTCCCCCATTTATACAAGCGCACAAGAAGTTGTTGGTATTGTGAAAAAGTTCCGAACGAAAGAATGTGTACGTACGCAGCGCCTATGCCACATGAGAATTACGGAGCGATGCGATGGTGTAATGTAGTTACAGGATTAAACCAGGGAGCGGAGCTGAAGCAGTGACACATCTTTACATTATATTCTTCCAAGTATCTGGAGCTTCCATACAGACAAGACCCTCTTGATCCTAAAGTCTTTAGAGAAGCGCCGCCGTGTTCGGATCTGGCTGGCTTGATCTTGATGTTTTTCCTGGACCTTTGGGATATCCTGCTTCCATTGATCTTGGCTTGCCTGGACCTTTGGGACGTCCCATTTCCTGTGCTCTTGCGTCACCCTGAGAACCGCATCTACATGGGATAGACTCAAGGCCGCCCCTTCGTCAGTTGCTAGTAGCTGCGCTGATTTTACAGCATTCCTGATTTCCCTTCCGTTCAACTGGTGCTGCGAGAGGGCTTCTGTCTGTTCGTCCGAAAACTGTGCTGCTGGGTCGGCGCATTGGAGAACAGATTTCCATATTTTGAGCCGGGATGGAGGATCCAGGTTGGCGAGGTGGAGCGTAAAGTCGATTCGAGATTGGAAGGCTTTGTCAATGACAGAGCGGCGATTGGACGTGAGGAAAACAATACCGCGCTGATACTCGAGCATGCGGAGAAATACTACGCAAACTGTTAGACAAAGGAAGCCACCATCAACGAAAAGAACAAAACCAGACGTACTTGATACCATTTGGTTTCGCTCGAAGGTATCTGCAAATCTCTGTTCGAGGAACACGTCGCTCTCGTCCAGTAAGAGAATGGCCTTCCACCTGTACGACAGATCAAGTGCCTTGGCTAGATTGTGCTCGACGTCCTTGGTCGAAGTGCCAAGTTCTCCTGCGCTCAAAGTATACAAAGGTGTCCTTGTTTTTTCGGCAACTACACAAAAATCAGCTTTTCATACAGAGAAGCCTTTGCAGTAAGAACGTACCGCACTCCGCAGTAAGTGTTTTTCCTACTCCAGGTTCCCCTGTAAGCAGGAACGAGGTTCCTTCCCCTATTACCGTTGTTTAGTAAAGTTGATTTGAATAATGATTACAGACCTACCTTTTCCCTCAACAATATCATCAAAACCTCGCCCTTTGTCATGGTGTATTTGCGTCCGTACCATGGACAACATGAACCGCTTTTTGTCATCAGGTAATACCAAATCTGTGAATGCGTTCTCGTTCCATTGGATATCAAATACATCATCGACGGCAAACTGACCTTTAAATATGTTAGGATACCTTCTGCAGTAAATCAAGGGAGGATATGCTTACCCCATGTCTTCGTTTCCAAACTGTATCCCTTTACTTTTGCGCTACATAGCAAAAAGTGACGTTCAGAGAACTCCTCGTCTTCTTTCTCAAGCGGCTTCAAAGTTTTGGACAAACTTGAATATTGAAAGAATGTCTCTGCATCCACAACAATACGACCTTGGACCTGATATAAAAGTCAGTATGCGTTGTGATCGCAGATACCACAGCTTTCTCCTTACATATGAGGAAGAACATGTGTTGAATGTGTTACTGCCAACGCGATCTATAAATCCTCGGTAGGCTTTGTAATGAGTGCCCCGGAGAGACACAAATTTGCGTCCTCTGGCTGATAATGACGCTTCGACATCATTCGAAGTTTGGTGATAGCTGAAAGGGTACACCTCGAGATCTTTGATTGCCTTGGTCCCGGAGAAAGATCCCATCTGGAGGACAAAATACTTCCAGCCGAACATTTTGCCATCCCAGTCAATGTTTCTACATTGGATGCCAAACGTCTTGGTATTCTCATCGTAGTCGGTCTTCCCAACTTCAAAGACGCAGTGCTGGCCTGATAGTACTTGGTAAACAAGGGAACCAGGAGGGAAAAGCGTCCAAAGATATTCGTAAGTTATAACCCCGTTTTGGATGAGGTCATTTGATGCCTGTTGGATGTCGCTGATGGTCGGTTTCAGGGTGTCAATCAATAGTTGCGTGTGCGCGAGTGTGTCGCCTTCCTGCTTCTCTAGGCTTTTCTCAAGAAGTTCAAAGCGATGGAAGAACTCCCTAAAAGGCGCAGAAAACGTGGGATTCTGCAGAGTTAAGGTTACGCCAGGGTATTGTGTGAGAACTTCCTCCATGACAGGCTTAAGCAGCGAGCTTTGAATGACGATCGAATCCAGCTCCAGAGGTTTCTTGTTCGGTCCGTGGCTCTTCTTCATCCGGGCAAGGATGGCGTGCTGCTTAACCTCGGGGGTTTTCTCGAAAGATTCTTTCACCGTGTCTGGAAATCTCTCAGCCCAGTTGATGCAGCAGTCGCATACGGAACGGCCTTCGTAGAGCGTTTTTGTGCGACAGAGTTCTCCGGGCGCCTGTACTTTCGGTGTCTTTACATCCTCAGTTCGGGGTGCAGATGGTCTTGAGAATACGCGGAGGACGTCATCCAGAGTTGGAGTCTCGGTAGTGGTAGTGGTATCCGCCATTGGTGCGGTAGCCGACGACGAGGTTGTGAAGACGTGAACTGATGTCAAAGCCGGACGCTTCTTGCTTCGGTGGAAAACGAGACAACGTTCCTGAGCATCTATACAGTTATATCTGTATCTCTCATTAACCCCACTAGTGGTTTCATCTTGCTTTGCAGTGATCTGCAACTAGGTAGCGAGCGGATTAGGAACGGGCGGGGCTTTCGTTTGATGTACTCGCAAATGCCAACGCACACACACTACTTCGGTACATCGTTTGCCATTAATGGCATAGCAGAAAGGCAGTAATGCCCAGCTAGGCACGCTAGGCAACAGGTACCACTGATCATTGGTCTGTGTCTCTTTGCGATCAAGGATGCCCAAATAATTTTTTCCTACTTACAGAGTACAGAAGTAGGCATACCAAACGAGACCCGATCTTACATTTTTTCGCGAGTGCATCTAAATTCAGTGGCGTGACGCGTCAAGTGACAGTACTGCGTTTCCCTTCTATTTTTACATCCACGTAGATGAGTTGCACTCCAATACGATCGGAAAGGAGCCAGACCGCAGATCAAGTCACCGGATTTGATGAAAAGTGGACGATGCTTCTAGACCGTATAAGAAGTCGGCTTGTATGTATGTGGATAGGCGTTCATGGACGCAGGGTCTGGCCACGGAAGACAGATGCTTCTCTTCGTCGGTGTGTCCGCGTGGCCGGGGATTCGGGAGTGAGCGGAGAGACCCACCTGCGCGCCAACAACGCGCCCGCCGGTCGCTGTGCGTTTCCCAAAGCAGCACAACTTTGAACGTCGCGAAAACTGGCGTACAGGCTGCATATGAGCCGCATAGGGCCTGCGTCGATCGCTGGCTGCTGGGCATGCGGGTGGTCGGACTGGGTAACTATGTTGTTGGACATCAAACTTGGGGTGCTTGCGCAGGGGGTCACTGCGTGATTGGCCCCCACGTTATGTGGATGGTGGATGCCGCTTTTCCCATCGATTAGCGCCCGCGGGCGAACATGAGAGAAGTGAGGGGGGGTTGCGTGGCCTCATATGGCGTTCAGCAGCGCCGGTACACACAGCCTCCTCACCCGTTTCCGCGCAGCCAAGCAGCAGTCAGTAATCTAGACGCCTGGAGAAGCCACGAGTCACGCAGACCTCGGCCCAAATGTTCCGTACGAGAACAACGCATCGACGCCCTGGTCGCAAAGGCTGAAACACCCCGCCGCATCGCGCTCGCGCGCGCATAATCTCATTCCGCAGCTCGCCAGTCAAACTTCAGACGTCAAAATAAGCTCGGGCACCAAGCGCAGAGAGCTCGCGCCTCAGGGGCACAAGTGCGCCGTCCTTCGGGGCGGGCCGATTGGCGCGACGCCAGTTCGCTCGTCGTGGTTGGTGGTGCAGCCAAAGGGAGGTGATGTAACCACACGGACAGACGAGTGTAATTGGCTGCTTGCTGTGATGATACCGGTCAGTCTCAGGGCTATTGTTGTAACTACGTCCGTGCCGGCACTGCCGGATGATTGGCCTCATGTTCCTTCGTGAATGCGAAAGGGTTTACCATAGAGACGAGGATAATATCATGTTGTTTCGAATCTTCGGAGACGTGAAGAATACAAACGGGCAAGTAGCTGGACAAAGAGCATTCTATATCCTGTGTATGGATGAAAAAGCCTTGAAACGCATACATGCTATGAATTATCTCAACTGGTTTTGTTCCTCCACTCCGTGTCATCGTCATTGTTTCGTTGGGCGGTGAATCTCGCTCCGGGGTATCTAAATACATACAAAAACATCATTTCCTGGGCCGGCCCGGCTGATGCGAAAGAATCAACAAACCTCGCACCCTCTGACTACGGAGTACCATTGAAGGTCTTATCCGCGTTGTCTATCCTCGCAGCCTTCCTCTCCTCCCTTTCCTCCGAGTCTCGCTTTCGCTTCCGAATCGGCTTTCCTTCATCCTCCTTTATTCCATTGTCGAGAATGGTTTGCTCGTGCCATTCCAGAGCTTTGTTGAGGTCCTCGTAGAGCTCGGCGTGAGAGAGGTCAACGGTGGTGTTGGCGGCGAGGATACGTGTTGCTTCTGGAAAGGTTTTGAGAACCTTTTGGGGGACAAAGTCTGTAAGAGGTAGGCTAAGAATGCCAGGACGGAGGGATCCGGATTTCGTGCGATATACCTATGAAGAATTCGTCAGCTATGGAAAGAAAGAAGGAAGGAGATAAGGGAAGCGTACATGTTCCTGCTCCAGAGTAGTCTCCCTATACTCGGGAAATTCCTTTAGACGCCAGACGGAGACGCTGGCTTTCTTTGCCGGTGGATTTCCCACCCTTCCCTTCTGAGGTGGCGTGTAGTCAACGTCCAGGTTGACTACGGCACGAATGCTGCCGCGCGTGCCGGAGAAGTAGTCGTCTGCAATCTGGGGCAGATGTTCGCGCTTTTGGCTGTAGCTTACCTCAAATACCATGGAAGGGTATTGTGCAGCCTCGTACTTAAACAGCCCGTCAGGTGTCCTGCTGTCTGGGCATTTATGGTGTGAGGACTCTTGTTTTGGAGGCTGGCGAGACGTGAATGGATCGGCCTCGGGATTGAGCTCATCCAGGCTGGAGTCGGAATCAGAGTCGACGCTTGGTTTAAGAGGGATGCTAATGTTTGCGCCAAAGAGCACTCCTGCGAGTATGGTACCAAGCTCAGCAGGGTGTTCGGCCTTTAGCAAGTCGAGCTTGGCATTTATCCGCTGAAAGACATTATAACCGAGGCACTCATGGAGCGCAGTATTGCCCATGCGGAGGACAAATTCCTCGTCAATGCTACTGTAGTCGTAACGGACCTTGTCTTCAAACCAATCCTTGACCGAGTTGTCCTCGTCAATCCGCCGAAGCAGCTCGTAGTACTCGGCGACTGACACGCGGTATCTGGCCCACTCAGGCGACGGGTGCTTCCACGACCCCCTCCCTTTGATGTGCTTGAGTATGCGAATGAGGCCCGGGACGCTGACGCGCTGTGGTTCCGACAAGGCGTCATCGCCAGGCGAGCTGGTGAGAGCGGGAGACAGCGGGAGCGGCGGGCGAGGCGGAGCGGGGGTCTGGTCTTTGGCCGTGGCCTTGAGCGGACAGGATTTAAAGCTAGGAGGAGAGGAGCTCGGAGGCGTGGACATGATGCGGTCGGCTGTTGTGGACGGGCATGAGGCCTGGAGGTCGCGGGCCCGTTGTGATGCGATGGAGCGTTTCGTTGTTGCGACCGAGAAAAGACGCACGAGTCGTGGGATCTGGGGTTGTCGGCGAAAATGACTCTGTGCCACGAGTGCGGAGGAGCGGAGGAGCGTTCAGCGTCCCAACGCTCTCCCACAGCTTCCATACCTATAGCAATGCAGAATACCCCCTCCCCTCACAGGCCTTCATCTATTCCAGTACGCATCAGAACCTCATCTCATGCTTGGGCTTAGAAGTCGAGCTTGAGGCCGAAGCCATGCCCGTTCGCACATACGCCCACGCCCGCGCCCGCGCTCGTCCCTACCGCAACCTTCGCGAATAACGAGATATAGAATGGGAGAAATATATACGGCCAGTGTGAATGGCTAAGAGCTTGGGATGGATAGAGGTTTGGGCTAGCAGCTGGTCTGCTGAGTGCTGTCGTGTTGGCTTTTCCGCGGCGAGCTCTTGCGAACAAAACATACCGTTAGAAAGAGGAATTACTGGAGGATCACCAGTAGAACCATGGTGCACCGATTGCGCAATATACTGCTGAGGTCTTCAAATCGGAAGCGTTGGGATTCCAACCGAAATTGAAGCTTAATTGGTAAGAAGGGACGTTGGGGACAGTACGGCTAAACGGAAGCATTTGCATCAAGTAAAGTCGTGATACTGAACCATGAAACCTGTAGTTTCTTTTAGTCCATTTATAGTTTTCCTTGAAGAAATGTTGGCTTACAGTTCTTCACATCTTTGCGTTACATACGGCCATACCGCCCGCCGATGGCACAACTTCCCTCAAATGCACAGGGAAAACTTATAGACAATCCGAAGCATGTCTGCATCTCGAAATGGGTATATTAACGGTTAGTGTAGCCGGAAACCTTGCTATTGCGATCTGTCCAGGCCGAAGCCTAAGCAGAAAGAATAGAAGAACGGTGAATCCACTGTGAAAATCACCCTCGATTAGCTGGTCCATTATAGTATCCAGATCGGAAATTGAAAATCGAGCGCCTACTCTACGTGCTCCTCCTTCGTAACCATCGCCGCCGCCGCTGCTACTACTATCGGATCTTGCTGAGAAAGAAAGCAGGCTGCATCCGGAAACACACAACCAAACACAAATCAAAGCAATCCTGACAGAAAAGACAGCTCTGCTTACGACTAGGAGCTACAATGTAGGTTCGACATATCGAGCTGGAGCACTGATCAGTATAAGTACCTCACCAAGGCGGCCTCTCCGGCCAAACTTTGCTCAGACTGCTATGCATTGCTTTCCATTGCCTTGACCCAATACAAATTTCCCAATCTATTCCATTTTCTACGCGGCTGGAAACTGTCTTCGGTCTTTAAGCGGCTCCAACCTGTGCCGCTTAGATACATATACTTACATTAGCAATCCGCTGCGGCTTTTAAGCACATGTAGACATTTATAGCAAACTAATTCCACCAACCCTTGCCTGGGGGATCCTGCTGTATCTTAACTACGATGCACGTCTCTTTTGGTCAACAAGAACGTCGAATGTACTCAGTGGAATAGTTATTATGCCGAGAACGAGTCTTGATTTGTTCGTAGACAGCAGCACTAAGCTTTTGCGAGTCACAGTTAAGAATTAATAATCGCCACAGACTAAAAGGAGTGATAATAACCGCCTAGGGCACATGTGTGCTCGGTTTAGCATACGTGTGCCAGGGGCGGAACATGTGTACCAACGACGGAACATGTGTGCCAACGATAGAACAGGTGTACTCGCTACCCTTAATTCAACATTTATGTTCTACTTTTCGATTCCATTCAAACTACGGGACAGCTCGTTATGTCAGCAGAGATCTGGTAGCAGTTTGACGCACGCCGAGTTATTTGAAATCTTATAGCCGTAATTCAAGTACAAGTTCTTGAAGACACTGGCCTGCCTGGGATTTTGCTTCAGAAGTCTCGAATTCGTTATGCAACCTATACAAGTCTGCGAAGTATGTGGAAAAGGTCGATCCGACTCGATAATTATTTGTGAGACAGAATTTGTCGTCCACACAACGCTAACGTTCATTTAGAACGCGGCAGCTCCGTTCATGTACCTGTAGGTAGTAAGTAGCAAGTTAAAAGTTTGACGTCCAAAGTCTATCCTGAATAAGAGTAACTTTACCGAATACCACCCCCGAAGCACGGGATCTTTTGAAATAGAACTAATTACAAAAGCATGATACTGAATAGCTTCACTAAAACCGATTCTTTTATTGTTTGATGCGCAATACACATACAATTAGCTGGCCTAAAAGACTGTAGAAGTTTTGGCCTTGCCGGAAGACAGAATGTCTGCAAATAATGTTTTGAGGGTGGTACCGCAAACTAATATTGTAGTGTACAAGCGCTGACCTTCTCGCAACTTGTTCCAGACATACTGCACATTACTTACTACATTAACGGATTCCACTAGCGTACAGCTCTGGATTGAGACTAGCCGGCCGCCTTAATCAAGTCTTTTGTGTCTTCCGAATGTTGCAAACGCCGATTCGGCAAGAAGGATCCTCGTAAATATGAGCCTGCTGCACTCAAAGAAAGTGCCTAGTCTCTGCAAAACTCCAGCCATGTCACGCTCAGTCGGCGGTATCTAGAAACACATGTTTGTAGGCATGGACTCAGCAAACGCCACTGCCGAAATTGGAAAGCAGGCAAAGACTTTCAACAGCAGGGAACAACTCGATCTCAAACGTATAGTCGGAGATGTACCGCGTAGCTGCTTAGGAGCGTTATAGTATGCACATCACTACGAGTTCCAAGAAATCTCCACTGGACATTAAGCAAGAAATGGGTCGCATACTTTCGGGAGGATGGAGCGGCAACAAACCCCTTGAGAATGAAACAGTAGGGTCTCTGGCAGAGGGATCGCTTTTTCTAGAGTGGTGAAAGGTAATTATTAGCGTCCGGGACGATGAGGTAGGCTTGCTGTTAGCCTTTCATCACTGACGCTTTGCTCGAGATTCTGCTACGCAACACAACTATTCCGCCCCTACTAAAAGATAGCATCCCTTCCTAGTTCTCTTCCAGGTATCGTGTACGGTATCCGTGCGTCGGGTTTTTTGTCTTTACAGCGAGCCCTTTTGTAGATTCGAGCTGCGTAGCAACCAATCACGGAGCCAAATCTCTCAATCTTCACTGCCCAGCTTAAGTTGCAAATGATGGGAGGATCCATATACGTCTCGACGAACTAGTGCACTGGCGCAGGTTCCGCGTGTATACGGCATTAAGGCACAGTGATTTTTCAAGGCTGCGAGCCCACGCGCTTAAGCTATAAGCTCTGCTATGCATTCTCGCTCGTCATGGACGGCCGTTCTACAGAGCTGTCTGTATAATTATTCAGTAAACCAAGAGAGGCCGGTGAATCTTCTCAGGTTGCGATGGCCGAAGGCAATCATCTTCAAACAAAGAAGAATCGGAGTGGTGTACGAGCACGTAAGAAGCATTCTGAATTAGGAGATTCGGAAATATGCATTGCTGTGGCTCTATAGGAACATTAACTGCTGAAATGCATAAACTTTAGCAGGGCAGTTGTGTCCACAAGCTTACACTTTCTTTCTTTATATCAGTGACTCGTTCACACTTTGATCATTTTTCCTTTCATCTTCAAAGACCGTTCGCTTCTTGTCCTTTCAGCGAACTCGAAACAATACTAGAAATTTACCGCTACAATTATTAGTGTCCTTTAACAAAGCGTTACCACGGTACTAATAGAACTTATATTATCTTGAAACAATATCGGTCCGCCAGTATATATCTTAATACTACAGCAGCTTCTAACCAATATAGTACAAACAGTAGGAACAACTCCTAGACGGATAAACTTACTACGCAGGAATTCGCAACCCAACTATACTAAAGTACACTGTCAATATTTACTATATCGATATCTGTACCCACCGAGCCCGTAGACTACCCCTAGCCTAACCCGCCCATCCGCCACTAAGAATACGTCGAAAAAGCGCACGAGAAAAGCGGCTACTTCTACTAGCCCGCCGGCGAAGCACCTATCGACTGTTATATCTGTAAGCGGCCGCTAGTTGAGCGCGCTGTCTTCCCCCTCCCAGCATCGGACGATCCGCCTAACTTCCCGCTATCACTCACATCTCGCGCCATCTCAGTCGCCTGCCCAGAGCACCCACTGCACCTGTCCTGCCTGATGATGAAGCTGCGCCTGCGCGCGTACCAGCGCAACGGCTACTGCTGCCCCGTTAGCGGGTGCGTCGAGACGTTCTACGACCCGGCCGAGTACGTGCAGGAGAACGACGAGACGCGCAGGGAAGCGGCGGAGCGGGCGACGCTTGGCTACGCTGCCGCAGCGGCATGGAGCCGCATCAACTAGGCGCAGGTTACTGCGTCCATCGACCCTGTCTACGGCCCTATTGTCGAAGACGAGCTTCGCGCAAACCTTAAAGTGTGGGGTGATAGGGCGACGGGCCGCAGCCAGGAAGACAGCGACCTTTTGGCGACGGCGCAGGGCGACGTGTGGGAGGAGCTGATGGGCTGTATCAAGCTCAGTGTTTGGTATGTCGAGGAGATGGAGTACGCGAGGCTCGTTGTCGGTATGGAGAACTTGGCGGGTCGGCTGGAGGCGATTTGTAGCTGGCCGCGAGAGGTGTCGCCGGAAGAGTAGTCGAATAGCTCTCTACGCTGGTAAGTACGACTTCCTCTTCATCACGATCTGATGATTGGTCTTGGTTCCGTAAATTCGTGATTAAACTCTTGGGCTCGTTGTTTGAGATTGTACAAGCAGAGCAATTGAGTACCAAATTGGCAGGAACGAAATTGACAGGAACAAAATTGAAAAGAACGAAATTGATAGGAATAAAAATCGGTAGGAACAAATACGAAAAACAATAGAAAAAGATGCTCGTATCTCTATACGGCGCACGATATTGTCTTATAAATGTTCAGCTGCTTGATGAAAGCGGGATAGTATATGCGAAAGTCTCCGTGCTGCGGAGGAGGTAAAGGTAAAGGCAAGGCGGGCGTGCG